CCGTCTCCGTCTTCGCCTCCGCCTCCGCCGCCATCCCTATCCTCTTCTACCCTTATCAACTTCAGTTACAAGTAATAAAGTATAAATCGCAAAATAAAAACAAAAAAATTAATGTTGGAATTTGTCATTTAATAATTAAAAACTAAATTGGAGTGAGATAAGTACGCATGTCCAGAACTGCAGCTGGAACCTACAAGCTGCACTCTAAACACAGCTCATCACTCTTGCCGAGAGTAGAATTTAATCCGCTTTAACCATTGCGTTTGATGTGACACTTTCAAAACTATCATTTCCTACAGCAACAGCTTCATATCCTGTCATTCCTAACCCTGCGACAGCATTTGCGCCCAATCCCAATCCCATTCCAATTCCGTATTGCATGCTTGGATTAAGATTGGGATTTCGGTTTCCAGCTGTTGTGGTTGTTGGAACTGCACTGTCAAATGCATTTTGCGTAGTTGGCAATTGTGCGGTATTGTCGTTATGATGACTTGAATGTGGTTGTGGCTGTACTGTTCCTACTGCTATTCCTGCTTCAGCATGGTTGGCCACCATAGTTGTCATAAGAGTATCATCAACTTCACTTTTACTTTGTAATTTTTCTAAAGTTTTTGTTGTGCCTTTGGGTTTGCTGCCTTTTTGTGATTGTGCACTCGTTGTTGTTGTCGAATACTGCACAACTGGAGGTGCGTATTCTGGCACTTCCAGATTTCGTGGCAGCACAGGTTGTTGAAGTGTGTTAGTTGCTTAATTAATAATAATTAAAATCTTATTTATTATCCTTATTGCTCAATTCATCTTTTATATTTAACAATTATATAATTTTCTTAGTATTTCATACTTACAGGATACTTCATGGAAACCGTTCTGATCTGCTGTATAAAATACTGTCAAAAATTTTCCATTTGGCATTGGATAGGAATAATATCCTTTTCTTGCTAAAACCATCTTTTTACCAACTGGTATCCAGTATGCCCGTTCATAACGAGTGTCTCCATTACTCAAGACATATCTGAAAAAGTGAAAAAGTGGAAATTCATTTTGACTTACTTAAATGGGCAAAGTGAACCGACTTGGTTTGTGCAAACGAATGAATGAAAGAATAGTTCAATAGTTTGGTTATCAATGTGAGTATTAAATAATATTTCATTAATCAGTATAATAACTAATGAATTTCCGTAATTAAGTATAAGTGACTTCTTTGTCATTGTAATTTGTGTTACATAAACGAATTGATAATAAAATTAACTTAAAATTTTTTTTAGCTTTAATATTCTTTTTTCAATAATGAAAGAAGTGATATATGCATTCCAATTAAAATTACACAGTATTATATTTACCAATTTTAGATTGTATATCATCAAATAAGATATTTAAAATTTATAAGTGCACGACTTACTGTTAAGATAGGGTATTGCAGTTTTTAAACAAGTTTAATTATTACCAATTGCGGATAAGGAATTTCTGTCTATTTTAGAAGGGAACTGAATAAAACCATTAATTTATCAGTCAAAGTTCTCTTCGTGTTCGAGTAATATTTTGGACCCCATTCTAAAGCTTTATCCACCTGCACCATTCAAAATATATTAGTTATATTACAATTTCTTAATTTTAATGTTAGTCTAGCCCGCGTTCCATAAGATAGTTTGCCATTGGTACCCATCTAAGAACAATTAAGTAACTAAACCACTAACATTACACTACATTAATTCTATAATCACTTTAAAAGAGCAAAGTAAATAGCAATGAGTTTACTTTTGATTATATTTACTTTAGACCTTCGGATGGATGCAAATTTTCTTCCAAAATTAATTTGGTAGCATTTGAAGGATTTTTGAGTACTTAAAATTGAATTCTTTTCTTTCGGTTTCTTCTTCTTCTGTTTGGTTAATGTGGTATCATTACAGATGGAAATATGCAAATCACTCACCTGTACTCGTAATGACCGTCCAAAGAACGTTTATCAAATCTCTCAATGAGTCGTGGGCTAAGCACTTCAGCGGGATGATAGGTGCGGTCATCATCAGCATTATTCGATGCAGCTGCTGTCGTTGTCTTAATAGTGGTAGGTGTCGCTTTCGTTGTTGGTGTTGTTGTTGTCGTTGTCCTGCTTTTTCTGGTAGTTGTTGTCCAACGTGCTTCCGCCACATTAAGCACGCTAAAGACACAAATAATGGTCGCCAAAATTAAAGCACGTCTCATTTTATGGCCGCTTAGGAGCTTTAAAGAAAATTTAAAATTTTAATTTGTTTAATGCTCGAAATCGCCCGAGTTTATCACTGGGCATTGTTGTTGTCTTTTTACTGTCGCTCACTTAGTATGCAATCTTCAAGTTTATGCTTCGACTGAAATTTAATAATTGATTCTTAAAAAGCCAAATTTTTGGTTTTTATACCCCCGAAAATTGGTTTAGCACAGAATCCTTCTCATTCTGAGTTTTGTTATTATTTATGGCCATTTACGAGTGGATATGTATGTGTATGTGTATGAGTGTGTGCATTTCTTTTAAGCGCTGGCTATCAGCAACAGCAACAGCAACAGCAGTTCAGCAGCAGAGTTGTTGTTGGTATTGAAAAAGATGACAGCAAAAGCTTGTTGTTGTTGGTTTTTATTTGTGCTTTTGTTTTTGCATTTCTTGTGGTTTTGTGTGAAATGTTAACAAGAAGTACAAATTATGGCAGCGCCCACACCCTTCGGCGTAACCCTGCAGCTCATGCCAGCGAAGCTGGTACATATTGTTTATTCATTTCTTTCATTCGCTTTAATTTTATAACTGCGCTGGTTCAGTTTGACGCTTGTTCTTTGTAATAATGGTTATTCCCGCTCAAAGTGTGCCAAGTGTAGGGAAAGGCAGAGACGATAACTGCAGCGCCGCACTGCAGCGGCAGCAGCAGTGGCAGCAGCAGCGCACTAAAACAGCGGCAGCAAGTGCAGAGTAGACATTCTTGTTTGGTCAATGACCAGTGCAAATATGCAGCTATGCGGCGCTGCGTTGCGTTTGTTTTTAGCTTTCGAAATGTTTGCGTCAGCGGTCAACGGGAACTAAACGCATTACCTGATGCAAATCGCGATAAGCTTCGTGCTTTATAATTATAAGCAATAAAAGCATCGGTTTATGACTAAGCTCTGGCATAAATTTATGTCCTAACGACTTTTTTCCACTTATGACAATCCAAATGCATGAATTCAACAATTTTAAATCATTTTCACTGGAAAGTCCTTATGCTTCTTCTTCCATCTCTGCTTCTACTCTTCACCGCCTACATTTCAATTTTATTTGTTATTAAATTTGTTATTTTTGTTTATTTTCGAAGCGCTCAATTCAGTGAATGGGACCAGCAGTGCTAAAAGAAGGGAGCAGAGAGCAGTATGAGAGTAGGAAGACGAAGAAAAATTGCGCTGTCAGCACATTTTTCACATTTGATTCTAGATACTTTACACAGTTTGTTGCTTTTCTGTCACTGTGTACTAATAATCGTTGTTGTTGTTGTTGTTGTTGTTGTTGTTGTTGTTGTTGCTGCTGTTCTGTTAAAATTGTGAGTTTATGTCCTAGAAGTTGTAATTGATGGTTTTTGTTCTTGTCAAAAATGTCAATGAGACGATATTTTTGAAAAACTTGTGTCATGGAAAAATATATTCGTAACAAACGAGGTTTAAATATCAAGAATGGATTGCAATCCAAGGAGTTTAATTTTGTGCTTTACTTTGCCGAGTGCTTCAGCCGCAGGTTTCGCAGCCACCATTGAAGGGGATTTTTGTGCATGAGTAGATCTGGCGGTGAATCTGCATGAGTTGGAAGAGCATGATTTCATCGTTTCGCAACAAAAAGTGCTATTTTAGAACTCAAATTTAAACTCCGTTACACTTACTTATCCTTTGAATTCCACTTTTCTGTGGTAATCACTTCGTCATTATGTCAACTTAGTTGCTATTGAAAAAATTCTGTTTACAAAAATATAGAAAATTTTGAAATGAGAATTCGTTATTCGGATTTATGTAAAATGTGGATTGTTAGAAAATATTTGTGAGCTTCATTCATGACCTTCATGGCCTACTTACACATAAAATTCTATAAAATGGTGATAACAATATCATAACATTCATAGCGATGAAAAATTAACGATAACTACCTTGGTAAAAAATAGGTCTAATTTGAATACTAGTGCAAAGACTAAACTTTATATAAACAGTATTGGTGTACACTGGTTACCAGTTATGTAAAATCAATTTACAGAGCAATGTACATTTATATAGCGCTATTATTGAAGGGTACCGCCTGCTCCATAACTAATCTTTCTATAGGACGAGTCTATGCAATAGTTTTCATGTCATTTCGTTTTGATGTTTTAGTAACTTTATGTATTAGAATTAGAATTAGAATATGTAGAGACGTGAATCCACATTACCTCTTTGGAATGAGTCGTAAAGATCTCAGTCATTAGACTATGAAAGAATTTC